GGTATATCTTTATTTTGCCCTGTGTATACCCATATTTTCACTGGAGATAGAATTCTAGTTTTCAGAATTGTGAAGGTATCATTCCATTATTTTCATTTCCGTTATCAGTTTGATTATTTTCTTCTGCAAAGTCATCTGTGGTCTTATTGTTGCTCCTTTGTGGATGATAAGTCCTCTCCATCCCCACCACCCACCCAGTGGCTAGTTTTGAGATTTTTTTTTTGTCATTGAATATTAGACTATTTCTCTATGACTACCTAGCATTAGTTTTCTTTGTGTATTGTCTTTCTTGTGGTTTGTAGAGATTGCTAAATCTTTTTTTTTTTGAGATTGCTAAATCTTTTGCTTAATGTTTTTCATTAATTTCAGAGAAATCCTCAATCGACATCTCTTCAAATACTTATTTTGCCTTATTTTCTCCCTCCTTTCACTTTGAAACTTAAATTACATGCTTGTTGGATGTTTTCCCTGTGTCCTCTAATGTCTCTTATACTCTTTATTTTTCACTTTTTATTTTCTCCTTTCAGATCTTCAGTCTGTTTTTCTGCTGATCTAGTTCCCATATTACTATTCTTCACTTTGTGTTTAATCTTCTTTCAAATCCATCTGTTGAATTCTTTGTTGTTTAAGTTCTAGAAATTTCACTTGATTCCTTTTTAATGGATTGCAATTTTATATTGAAACTCAGCAACTTTTATTTTCCTGAACAAATGAGTCATCATTATTCTAGAACTTGTGTTTGATAATTCTAAAATCTGATTAAAGTGTGGGTCTCACTGTCCTGTATTTTTTTATTGAATTTTAGCCATTTGATCTCATTTTCTGCCATACCTAGTAATTGTGGATTGAGTGTTGGACATTATGTTCGAAAGCTTATAAACCAGTGAATAATTTTGTCTTCCAGAGAGGATTTACTTTTTCTTTGTTAGACATAGAATACTGGCAAATCATCTTAATCTGCTAAGAATAGAAATTCTTAGAGAGTATATGATACCAATTAAAAGTCAGATGCATTTACCAGGGCCACTTTTTCTTTGAAAGCCTAATTTTTATTCCCCTAGCACCATGATAAGTACCAAAATCTATGCTTAGTTTTTCAGCTCATTTGAGGCTGATTTTTTTTTCTTATTTCTCATCCTCTTGCACTTTGTATGTGCAGCTCAGACATAATCATATAATTCAAGAGGCAGCTGAGTACAGATTATTGGGCTCACTTATTTCTGGTACCCTTTTCTAAGATTTCATACCCTTAAATTCTAGCTGCTTTGGTAGCCCTGACTCTGGTATCTCCCAACTCAGTGAAATTTCTTTCAGCTCTTTTTTTTTTTTTTTTTTTTTGGCTTCTATGCAAAAGGATCAGTGCCCCAAAGGGAAGATTAGCACCTCAGTGGACCTTTCTGTTCTCTGAATATTGGCTCTTTAAGTTCTGGCTGCATTTGTTTCTCTGACACACCTTCAAAAACTTATTTAAAATCCAACTTTTATAGTTGCTTTTAGCAGGATTGGTCTAATGCTTGTTCTTCTTTCATAGCCTGAAGTAGAAGTATCTCTCATCTAATTTCACACTACCTCTATGAATTAAGTGGAGATGTGCATAAGCTTTGTTATGTGCATAAGCTTTGAAAGTTAAATGTTTTTTTAAATTTTTATTTATTTATGATAGTCACAGAGAGAGAAAGCGCGAGAGGCAGAGACATAGGCAGAGGGAGAAGCAGGCTCCATGCACCGGGAGCCCGATGTGGGATTCGATCCCGGGTCTCCAGGATCGTGCCCTGGGCCAAAGGCAGGCGCCAAACCACTGCGCCACCCAGGGATCCCAAGCTTCGAAATTTAAATCCCAGCTGGCCACTGACCTCTAAGTGAGAACTTGGACAAGCTTAACCTCTTTGACCTTTTATTTCCTCACCTTTTAATCAATATGTGAGAAATGAAGTTGAAGAGACCTTTAAAGATCAGTTAATTCCACTTATTTAAACTATTTCATAGCATAATAAAAGGGAAACTTCTGAATTGATTATAGGAAGCTGGTATCATTTTAATTCCTAAATCTGAGAAAAAAATTGCACCTAAAAATAATAAAGCAATCTCATTTATTAATATTAATGCAAAAACATATTAAAATTATAACAAACAGAATCCATCAATATTTTTAAAAAAGTGTATCATGATTAAGAAATGCTTATTCCAGAAGTACAGAGATAGGTGAATACCATGAATTCTACTAGAGCTAAGGAGAAAAAAAATCATGATAATCTCCCCAAATTCAGAAACAGTTTTTGATAAAGTTCAACACATATTTTATTTTTTAGTCAACAAATATGCATTGAATGTCTGCTCTATTGTATTACTGATATAGTAATATCTCTGTCAGATAGCACTGAGGATACAAGAATGAAAAAGATACTGGCGCCATCCCAACTCACATTCCAGTGGAGGAAAATAGTCAATAAATAAACAAGTAAAAGGACAAGCTAAAACATCCATTTATTTCAAAGACTCAGTAAAATGTGCATGGATTTCATTAATATGATTAACCTACCTTGGGCCAAAAGCCAACATTTTATTTTCCTTAATAGGAAAACACTAAAGACTAAAACACTAAAGGTTTTCTTCCTGAAGTCAAAAATAAGACCAGAATTCCCGTGGATGTGCCAAGTTTCCACAACACTTAATATTAGATTGAAGAATTAGCTAAAGCAGTAAGACAAGAGAAAGACGAGAGACCTAAGAATTGAAAAGAGAGAAAAATCATAGCTATTTAAAGATTACATAACTATATAAAAGGAAACCCCAGAGGACTCCATGGAATAACTATTACAAACAATAGGAAGTTTAGTCAAGTGACTGGTTAAAAATCCATATATAAAAATCAATTGTAATCATACACACAAAAAGCAATTACAAGATAAAGTGAAAGAGAAATTCTATTTATGATAAAATATTTACAAAACATATTCAGGAGACACACAGGAAAATTATAAAATAATCTTGAAAGAAATAAAAGTCTACTTGAGCAAATGATTAAAAATACCATGTTGTTAGATAAGAAGATACAACATTATGCAGATGTCAACTTTCCCTGAATTTATGTTTTGTACAATTGCAATAAAACATCCGTAAAGTCTTCTTCTTGATATATACAAGTTGCTCATGAGTTTCCCCTCTTATGAAAATACTTGTTATTTCCAGGGGTGTGGTGCTAGGCCCTGCACAGAGAGCTGAGGAGCAGTGTGGGAAGGGCTGGGTTAGCTTTTTGCATGATGTGCCTTACAGCTTATATACCTCTTCTAACACCACTCTCCATGGTCCCTCTTCTGAACCCTGACCTAGTGAGTACCTCCTCAAGAACCATCATTCTAGAAGCTAATTTGGTTAACTGTGCTGTGTTGTTGGGCCACTGGTTCCATTGGTTTCCACTTAGGCCTTTGACTCATTACAGAGATGGCAGTCATAGAATATAAGTTGTGGGGGGTGGGGGGTGGGAGATAAATGTTCGAGTGCCTCCTCCGTTTCATCCCTCCTATTGCCTCTGCTTTTTGACCCCAAAGGATGCTAGACAAGAATGCTAAGGTGTGAAGGAAAATGCCATTTGCTAAAAAAAGTGCTGGTGCTAAATGGTCTTCTTGGTCATAATGGCAAGAAGTTGGCCCAAGTTAGATATTTTATTTTCTCTTCTTTGGTTACTAGCATGGATTTTCTTTCAACTTACTCTCAATATTAGACTTTTTACCCTAAACCAGTTATTTATGATGACTTGTAGGTACTTTTTATTCGTTGTGAAACCACAGTATATGTTTCCAGGCTTTCCGCTGTATTACTTCTCACTGGGCCTTTTCTGCTTCCTGAGCATACCCTGTACTCTCCCATTACCTTGCCTTTTCTTAAGCCTTTCTCTCTTCCTGCTGTACCCTCCCTCCCTTACCTCTGTCTGAAAGCCTGCCCATTCTGCAGTGCTATTTCAAAGGTTCTTTTAAAAAAACCCTTTTCTTTATGTATCTGCCTAAACATGAATATACTGGTATTTTTCAAGGTAAAATCACCCCTTTACTTCTCAGTAATTTGTGTTTGTTCTGTAGCCTCCTGTTCAACTATGAATGTTTTTTTTTTTTCTCTCTGTCTCTCTCTTTTTTTTCCAGCTATGAATGTTTTCAGTGCAGGAATTCTGTTTGGCTTATGTAACCTCCTCTCAAACACTTTGCTTACTGCTGTACACATAGTGGGAAGATGAAATTGAATAAAAAAAAATACCCAAGGCATGGACTTAATTGAGTCCAGTGGCATGGACTGCCTGTCCAAATTGTCTGTAAGATCCTACCCTTTGGAAACTACTAAGTTGAGCACAGTCAACTAGATCATGCCAGTGACCCACTCAGGAGCAATGATGGTATTCATTATGAAACCACAAATCACAGCCTACTTCAGGTCAGATAATTCTGGCTTCTGTCTGCTTCTCTTTGCCCCAGGCCCTATAGCACCTACAGTCTAGTTGGAAGATGTAGTATCAGTCTGGGACAGGGTCTTCCTTGATGCTTGGTACCAGTCCAGATTCCACATAAGAAAGACCATGAGAGTTGTCTCTATTCATTAAAAACTGAATGATTGGGGCACCTGGGTGTCTCATCTGGTTGAGCATCCAACTTGATTTCAGCTCAGGTCATGATCTCAGGCTTGTGAGATGGAATCCCAAACCTGGCTCCCCACTAGGCACGGAACCTGCTGAAGATTCTCTTTCTCCCTCTCCCTCTAGCCCGCCCCCCTCCCTCTCTTAAAAAATAATTTGAATAATTAATATATTTTTTGATTAAGGCCCCAAAGCAACAAGTTGTTTCCTTTTACAAGTGTGTATGTTGAGAGTTTAGTAGACCCAATGTTGCTGAATGCCATGTTCTTATGAACTTGTTCATCTTTTTGTGAATTAATGGCTAGCAGAGGTGAGATATTTGCAAGTATCTATACATATGAATTATTCTTCAAAAACACAAGTCTTTCTTTTCTTGCAGGAGTCCAGAAGCTTTGAAGTCACAAGAAGAGAAGGTAGGGAAAATTCATTCATACCCATTTCATTCTCAGTGTTGACATTTTGGAAGTAGTTTGTTGAAGCTAGGATGAACTTCAGACTGTGGTCAGCCTGTTCTTTGAAATTTCATGTGGCCTTTTCTGGGTGCTGCCTGGCACTGGCCTCTAAGGACTGTAAGAACTGAAAGCCAGAATTTCTTGAGAGAACTATGTCTTCGACTTATAAATATCAGAAGTGGGATCTGGGGAACTGTCTTATTCACAATCATGTTTGCCGTCTTGAGAAAAGCTTCATTTTTGAGTGGAGTTTGAAGTAATTATTTGGTTTCACCTGGCAAAAACAATATCAACAATAAAAAATGGTTTATGATTTGAAGTATTTCAGTAACTGGGAGAATATCCCACTGTGAAAAATATTTGTGATTAGATTTTTACAGCTTTAGCTAAGCTGAAAGAGAAGTAACCAATTAATTTCCCCTTTGAAACAATTCCATTATGTTCATTTTCCTCACCAGTTCTCCTGGCACATTTGTTTTCCAGTCTCTGAGGTAAGTATGTATGGGTGGTAATTTCTGAAATTTTTTAGTGAAAATTGAAGTTGCCCTTACTCACTTTCAGCAATACCTACTGTCTAATAAGATGTCTTTTCTATGGTTTGTGTAATCTTTGCCAGTCATCTCTTTATTGCAGGGATAGGAGGAGGAAGTCAGAAATCAAACTGAATTCTTGCTCTAGGGTCTGGCCTTTGGTTTTAGACTTAACGACAAACTTCTCCATAGCACTGTCTCCAAAAGAGTTGCAATCTAAAAGGTGTGAGCAAATTGCATTCTGACTCCTAAATGTAATGTATCCTTGACTGGCTCCTAATTAGTTCTTATTTTAAGCACCATAATGAAAGACCTAGAATGGCCATGTTATCAGTATGTTTCTAGAGTTTGGAGACCTAAACCTTCTATAAATCTGTATTGGTAAAGTAACCTAACTGGTTGTTTGCTGCTACCCATGGGGCTGGAACCCTGGATTCAAAGGATCTGGGTAATGTGGCTCTAGGATGAACTTTGTGGCTTCCATTCCCATTTGCCATTGGCTCTGGTTTTGGGCTCAGTGTCCTCTGAACTGCATCTGTAGGGTGGACTGCGTTGTGTCGGTATCAAAAACAAATGAAATTGCATGGACATGGGTGGATCCAAAAGGACATGTTTCTTATTGATGACCATGTAAATTTTGGAAAGAACTAGCCTTAAGCAGAGAAGTCAGCATGAAACTTGGTTCTGAATGTTATTTAATTCATGTCAGTAGCCCAGAGTATGGATGTTAGGAATTAATTTGTGCTATAGAATCACACATAAACCTAACTGCTCTGGAATGTCACCTGCCTTGTGTTAAAAATGTCTCTAAATAGTAAGGCTAGGACATGAGAGAACCATGTATATTTTTGCTCAGAGGCATTGAAGGGCTTGATTGAACCCCAGGCTCCAAATCCACAGGAAGATTGACATTGTTGAAGGATGAGCAGAGGGGTGGTTGAGTTGTGCTCTCCTCATCCATAACCTCCTTCTCTTTGGCAGTAGCAGCTCTCACAACTGGCTGACTGGGAGCATATGGTTTGATTGTACTGACAAATTCGTCCTGACATCACATAAACTTTTTCCCCCCATTGTGAACTGATGTCTTTCTTGATTGTTTCTGTCAAAGTTGAGTGTTTGAGAGTTCCTGAAATAGCTTAGGCCTTGATGCCAATGCTTATAACCTGGCGGCGGCTGGGGGTGGGCTGTGTGTCGAGGGACCTTACAGGTTGTTTCCAAGTATTTTCAGGCATGAGAATTCACTTGCTTGAATGGTGGGATTGTTAGTCTTTTCCAGAAGAGTATAGAAGTAGAAAAATTATAGAAATGCTCTGAATATTTCAATAAATTATTATTCCTACAGACAAAAATAAGACATTGTCTCATAATAAACACTTAAGGTTGTTTCACAGTTGGAAATGAAAGAGGAGCAAGTAAGTGACACTGAATTGTTCTGCCCAATACAGCAGGCCAGGGGCATGTTGGAGAGGTCTGGGGAAGGTAGACTCTGGGTCACACGATCCAAGATGTCTTCCTATTTTTTTGTTTTAATCCTACATCTGACTGAGGAGTTCCTTCTTCATCCCAGGTTCAGTGGTACAAATGGGTGACCAACATGATCTTTGGAAACTGTTGACTAAGTCTGTGAAGTAAGAAGTGAGAGGGAAGAAGATGAGCAGTGTGAATGGAGTCGAGGATAGGTCCTGGGGGTGTTGAGGATCTTTAGTGAAACTTGAATGTACTCTGTGTCTTAGACCTTCTCCCTGCCTGATTTCCAGCCTTGTCATGATTCCTAGACTGTGGCCCATTCTCTGGCTTCTAGCTTTAATCATACTATATGTGCACCCCAAGTGCTCTTAGTCCCTCATCTTTGTTGAATGCCACCTCTCCCTCATACCTTCCAACTTTTTCTTAAATTGTTTAGCTTACCCTACCTTTTCTTGGAGTTAAGGGATCCTATCAGGTCATTTCCTAAGAACAGAGAGCCTCACCTTATTCATTCCAGATTCTTCATGGCCTTAGTCCAAGATTCTAGTTGCTCAACAATTGTTTTCTGAATTAAGTGCAAGCTACACACTGCTAAATTGTGTAGCTTGATCTTTTCACTCTGATTCTGTTCCAGTGATATACAAGTGAAACACTGAGTGCCTTAACTCTAGAAAGGCACTTTTTATGGAGTGTTCTGTGGATATCCATTGGATATTCCTAATTGATCAAAGTGCTCCATCTTCAGATAAGCTTCATGTGTCCCCCTCAAAAGATATGTTGACATCCTAACTCAGAACCTGTGGGTGTGACCTTATTTGGAAATAGTGTCTTGGCAGATGTACAATCAAGTTAAGATGAGATTATCCAGCTTTTTAGGAGGGGACTTAATCCAATAAGTAATATCAGAAGAAGAAAACATGGGAGAGCACCATGTAATGATGGAGTAGAGATGGGAGTGATGAGTCTATGAACCAGGGAATGCCAGGATGCCTGGCAACCACCAGAAGCTAGAAAGAAGCAAGGAAGAATTCTCTAAAGCCTTCAGAGGGAGCATGGCTCTGCCAACCCCTAGATTTCTGACCTCTGGCCTTAAGAACTATGAGAAAATAAATTTCTCTCGTTGTAAACCACCTAGTTTGTAGAACTTTGTTGTGGCAGCCCTAGGAAAATAATACTCTTGAGTTCTGGACTCAATATTGAGCTAGTTGTTGAGATTTTTTTTACTGTAGAACCTCTTAGACTTATAAGATGCTAAATATGACTCTCAAAAGGGAGCATTTCCCAAACTTAGTTTCCCATGGTGTCTTTTGTTGTATTTGATCATCTCAGGGCTGGTGTTCCATGCAATATCCTTTGCAAGTCCTGCCCTAGAGAGTTCAGGCAGAGGGAAGGCTTCCTCAATGCCCAGGATGAGCCTAGGACTCGGCACCAGTAACTTCCAAGGGCTTTGCATGGACAGAATGGTGACCTAGTAATAATGATGATGACTCCTCAGTTCTCGAGTTTTCAGAGAGCATTTACATTCTTTCCCTCCTGTGACCCTCAGCAACCCATGATAGGAGGAGAGCAGAGAGGACCCTCACACATGAGACTCCTTCCTTCCTTTCCATGCTAATTTGTGGGAACAAGGACTCCCCCTGAACCAGTGTTTCTTTCTTGTGCTGATCCTTTCTCCTGTACAGTTTTCTGTACATTCATGCCCACTGCCAAGGCCAGAGAGCTGAGAAGGACTCTTGGAAGAAAACTGTCCAGGGGTTCTTTGATTCCAAGTTAGATATGGGGCAGGGCTCTCAGGAGAACCTGGAGGGAAATATATAGTATCAGTAAGTGTGGCAGGACTGTGGGACTGGTAGGCTGTCTTCTGGGAAGGGCACATGCCTATCCCAGCTGACGAGGCAAGTCCTGTATTGTCCTTGTGCCCTGGGACCCACCTGTGCTAGCTGCATAGGGAAGGAGAGGTGGCTGCATCTTCATCTGCTTCCCATTGCGTGTGTTTTTACACTTCCCTGTGGATACCTACAATTTAATTTCAACTTTTAAGGCTTCAGCCAAAGGCGCCAACCTCACCTCTCCAAGACACTCCCCTGTCCACTCCGAGGGCTGGTGCTGATTGTGACTGCCAGAACTCATCTGCTCAAACCAGTACTTTTCTCTAACTGAGTCCATCACATTGAATTACAGCCAGGAGAGGACACTTGAGTGAGCTGAGCAAGTGGCCGGGATAATTCAGCCCTTGTCAGCCATCTCTCAGGAACATGGGGTGAGCTAGAAACTATTTCAGATGTCTGCGATTGTGTTATGATTAGAGGCTGTGAGTTTTGGGGTGGGAACCAATGTCATATTGCATTATCCACCCTCCAGGGATGGCTCACTCATACCTTCTAGTCTAGAGCAGCCTGGCCTGGCTTTCAGCAGGACTGTGAGGGAGACCTGAGAGCAGGGCTGCTATTGTCTTCCCAGAAAAAGAGAGAGGGGAGGGATAGTCACACAGCCTGGGTGGCTGTGACTCCTTAGCAATGGATATCTCCTAAATAAACATCACCTGCCAGTCCCCACCGTGTGACTAGAGCCTCCCTTTCTGAAAACCCTTGGAATTAGTCCCTAATTGGAGCTGCCTCTAATAGCCCCTTTATAGTTCTCTGCATCTGGGTGAACTTCAGCTATCAAGAATTGCATTCTGTTTACCATTAATTCTGATTTTGTTTAGCAGATGTTTTCTGGATCTCTTAGTTGCCTCCATAATCTGTCTTGGTATAATGTGAACTGGCTGACTCTCTTCCATAAAACAGATTAATAAACTCCTAGCTTCTTTTGAGGTAACTTCTTTAATGGCTGCAGAGGCAGGGAGTTTAGAAGGGAGCCATCCAAATTTGACAGTGCCTGGAGTAGTAGGTCTTTTTTGAATCAAGGCTGCAATCTGGGCAAAGAGATGCAGTTTCCTTCACCATTCTGCCCTCCGTCACG